ATTTCAGTGTCACATTCAGGACAGTTGTGTTGATGTGCTACACTGACTGCTGCTCATCAGAAGAATTTTTTTAAGTAAAAGATTACCAGTTTCAAATCATATCATTAAGTGGCTCGTGTGCCTCAGTATAAAAGAAATGGTCTTTTCAAATGGCAATTTGATCAGATAAAAAAAAAAATCTATGACAGAAATTGCTTCACTGCTTTAATACATTCTTTTTATTAATTTCATTCTCAAAAACTTGCAGAGGGAGCACTTGAGCTCTCAAACACACACAGAGAACTCCTCTCCTATAAACCACAGCGATACCTCATTTACTACCTTATAAAGTAATATAGCTGGCCTGTCCCACCCCCACCCCTGTCTGTTTGTGATGTGAGTTGCTGCTGTTGTTTTTCTAATTGCTGTTGCTTCTTCGCCTCCAGCTTCCCTGCTGAACTCAGACACTACTGCCTCACACTTTTCAGTAACATGCAGTTGTGATGACAAGTACTAGAGTTCCCACTCAAGCTGCCTGTTCCTGTAGTGCAGCACCCCTTTCCTTCCATCCCTCCCCTCCTCCTCCTCCTCATCCTCCTCCTCTCTCTCTCTCTCTCACTCACTCTCTCTCTCTTTGAAGCCTTGCAGGATGATGATGACACCCGCCGTAATCGGTGGATGCTCAGCTTCTGACATGACACACAATCGAGAAAACCTTCCGCACTGATCCAGGTTTTGTTGTTGCATTCAGGCACAGTGCATCCTCAGACAAGTGGAAACGCCTTCCACAGGAGAATGGGGGAAGTCAGTGAGGTGGGGCCTTGACTGACAGCCCTGTTGAGAAAACAAAACCATCTTCTGTTCCTATCTGATCTCAGCTCAGTAGCAGTGCACATTTGTTTTGCTGACCTGCTTTTTGTTTCTCCCTGCTGGATCTGGGATTTGTTTATCTTCTGAGGGGGATAAGATTAGTCCATTTGTGTTTGTGTAGCTGTGCTTTAATGGCAGATTTGGGTTTGAGGTGAAGTAGGTAGAGTGGGAAACAACATCATTAAATTTACTCAACTACTGTATTTAAGTAGTTTCAGTTTTCAAGTTTTATACTTCGACTCCACGACATCTCAGAATAAAATATTGTACTTTTCACTACATTCATTTGACAGCTGTAGTTACTAGTTAGTATGCAGAGTAAAAATATTTTAGATACACCACCTATGAAGATATTATAATAGGCTATATAATGAATTGTTAAAGATGTAGCAAACTCAACAGTATCAACAAATTGTAGTTACTGTAAAATCAGGTCCAACTCTAGGAGCAACATTAAAATGTTGCTTACATGTTTACGCATCAGTAATAATCCAATAATATCTTATATAATAATGTGACACTGACAGGCATTGCTCTGCTGCATTTGAATTACTTTTGATACTTTAAGTGCACTTTAATGACAATTCTTATAAACTTTTACTTAAGTAAAATTTTGAATGGACTTGTACTTATAATGGAGTATTTTTACATTGAGGTATTTTTACCTGTGCTTATATGATTTGAGTTCATCTGCCACCAAGGTACATTGTAACAGGGTACATTTAACTACATTTCTGAAGTACTTCTACAACTCCACTACATTTCAGAGGGAAATGTTATACTTTGTATTTCAATACATTTATTTGACAGCTACTGTATAGTTGCTGGTGACTTTGCATATTAAGATGTTAAAAAACACATAAGATAAAATAAGATACATTGTTTTAGATTAAACACTGCAATAAAAAAGTCCAAATGAGCTCCATCTCGACCAGCTACAACATTAAAATGCTGCTTACATGTTAGTTGTATTAATCCAATAATATACTTTATAATAATATGAAACTTCCCAGGGCCATTCTGCCCACATAGTAAATACTTTACTTTTGAGTCTTTAAGCATATCTTGCCCATAATACTGCCATTATTTTTTATTGTAATGCAGGATTTGTACTTCTAATGGAGTATTATTACAGCGTGGAAATGCTAAATAAATATATAAAGTAAATTATATGAATACTTCTTCCACCACTGACTTCATGTCATGGAGTTATCAGCAGAGGTAAAAAGAAAAGACCATAAAAATACCAAGATGAGATGGGACACACACACACACACACACACACACACACACAGAAACTCACTCAGCAGGTTTTGCATTCCCTATTCTCGCTCAGCAACATTTTTTGAACACTGATTCATTTCCTAGTTTCTAGAACAAATTGTACCCATAGAAATCTCTATATGGGCATGGAGTATCTATCACCCCTCCTTCCTGTACCCTTCCCTCCATCCTTTATCATTCCGATGAGCCTATCCCTGAATTTGATTTACATACACCAGATAGGTGGAAATATTTTTGTTGATGATCCACACAGTGAAAAACATGTTGCTATAGTTTCAGTCTGACCAGAAGTGTTTACCAAAGCTCACATTTCAGACTGGGCACTTCCACCAGTGCATGTACTATTTCTGTTGCAGGGGCTGTGTGGGAGTCCCCCTGTTTACCAGCAGTTACAGTTAGGAGAGTGGGTGAGGGGATCAGCTGTCCACCATCACTGCTGGAAAGCGGTGCAACAGTTTGGTTTGAAGTGAAATCTGAAAAGCCTGTCGGTGCGGTAACTGGCTTAGACTAAAGTTACCCTGAGGGGAAATAACCATGCCTGTAATGTTTCTGTAGGGACTGCTAGTGTGGATGTGGTGCTCAGTAAAGAGTGAATTCGTACTTTTATGACATTTTCATTCCCTATTTTATCACTGCAATGGTGTTATAATTGGACAGTTGCAACAAGGATGCTCACTGATGTGGCACCAATTACTTCACTATGACATAGCTAATTTAGGACACCTTGGATTCATATGTTTTAGCTACTTTTATACGTGTTGAATATACCACGATGTACCAGAGGACAATTAATCAAAGTGATAGAATGGGAATAACACAAAACATATTTTAGTGGTAACCACTGACAAGTGATTCTCAGCCTTTTTAACTTTTGACATCTTTCCTCCAGAGAGACATTTACCTTCTGAACTTCTAAGACTAACTTTGATGAAGTCCAGTTGAGTCAATTTATCGATTTAGCCGACATCGTTAATCAAAGATTTGCCTGACTTGGCTTTACAATCTGTACAGCATGTGAGACCCTTAATTCGGATAAGGAAAAACTACCAGCAAAACATTTTCAACAGGGAAAAAAACAGAAGTAACCTCAGGAAAATCTAAATATGGAAAATTGGGATGACAATACCATAGATAAACTGTAAACAAGTATACAAGATATTGACTCTGGTTGCTCTCAGCGTTACATACAGTTCCAGAACAGTTTACCGAAGGGATAGAGACAGAAATACAGCCCAGAAAAAGGACAACAAGCTGAACAAAGATAGGTAAACATAAATATAGAACTATTATATAGGCTACATTATGTAGTATGTAGTATAGATGTATAAACAAGAGCTTTTGTGAACATACACCACAACTTTGGATTGCTCTCCCCACACCCTTAAGGCCTGCTGATTCTGCGGATTCCTTCAAAAAGCAGCTATGGTCACACCTGTTTACATAGGTGTTTGGGTAACCTGTATGCACCAGGTCTGTGTTTTTTATTACCTACTATGTATTTTTTGGGAATTATTTTACCATTGTGAGTTCACTTACCCTCTATCATGTATCTTACTTATTTTGGATTATTTTATAGCCCACTTCATCAGGTGTCTCGGGTGGTCAGATTGTCTTCTTTTATCTTATCTTAGTTCTGTAAATGTTTGTGTTGTTGTAAAGCACTTTGTGAAGCTGTTGGTGAAAAGTGCAATATAAATAAAGTTTCCTTACTTACAAGTAGGTGAAAAAATAGGAATAGGTATATATATTAAAACTACAATAACCAACAAGAATATGTAATAACATGTATGAAGAATATGGATCTTGGAGAACATCAAGCAACTTTCAGGTCCAGCCAAACAGATAAAACCTGAGCCACAATGAGGAGAAACTCTCCTATAGCCTCTTTGACAAAAATGTAAAGATTGGAGAAACATAAATAATTAATCAGAAATGTGTCCTTTTTCGTTTTTCCTTCCCATCAGTCATCTCATGATCCTTGTAACCTTTTGGAGAGGGCCAACCCATAGGCTGACAACTTCTCAACTATAAGCTACTTACTGTGGTCAAAACCAGCTACACCTGAACCAGCTACACCAGTAAAATGCTGCTTTAAATCTGATGCATAAACAGTCTAATAATCTCATATATAGCCTAATAATATATCAGGGGCTATGAGTACTTTTAACTTTGATACTTTGCTGATAATACTTCTGTAGGTCTATACCTACTTAATTGCCATTTTAATGCAGTAATTTTACTTGTAGTGGAGTCTTTTTTACATGAATATATTTTTTCTTCCGAAAGAATCTAAAGGGCTACTTCTTCCACAAGTGGACGCGACACACTTACAGTCAGTCCATGAATTAAATTAATAGGTACTTTTCAAAAAACTTGAGCGCTCGACAACGTGTTGCCCCTGTTTTCGATATGTGAGTGACTCAACAGTGCCCTCGTCATTGCTCCAACATCGACTCCCGCCTCTGAGGGAACGCATACGGCCATCTGATTGGCTTTACTGTAAGCTGTAGCAGTGGGCTGATGGCTTGGTTAATGAATATTCATAACTCCGGACCGCTCGCTCAGGCCTCACCCTGCTTGTGTCTGGCTCATCGGAACAGAATGTGGGATGTGCTGATGTAATATCAGTCAACCTTTTATCGGAAGACAAACCGTAGTACATAAACACAGGACAGCACATTGTACGGTGAGTTGAGACAGTGTTGACAAGTGAACTGCTGGTGTGCGTAAATACGCGCGCTAATAAAGCAGTGGGTTAATTCTGCTAGGGACATTTGCGTTCTGTGTAGTTGGATAACTGTCAGTTTTAGAGCCACTCCCCTTCTAGAAAATGTGCCAAGCATCTCTGCTCTTCTGTGTGCTATTTCAGGTCATTTGGATTCATTACAAGTGCTGTGGAAGAACCTGACAAACCGGTTTCAGGCTGCATCTGGACGTATAAAGGTGTTCCCACCAACTAGAAACTACGAAAAGGGCTCAAGCACTCATCAAGGTGGAAACTCAACCACCAGCACGGCTCGCCTGATTTACGGGACAGCCAATCCCGGTTGCAGCATTACAGACAAGGAGACTTTTCCTTAAGCCGATCAGCCACGAATAAAAGCAGGGCACTCACAGAAGAGAAACAAACAATCAAGAAACTCGGATCTTCGCTTTCATTTCTGGAGGAAGAAAAGAGGAAAACAGCTCTCGTTAAGATGATGATGATGCAGCAGCTCACAGAAACCCCCAACCAGAAAAACTCCCTCTTCAACGCCATGAACCGCTTCATTGGCGCCGTCAACAACATGGACCAGACCGTCATGGTGCCCAGCCTGCTGCGGGACGTCCCGCTGGAAGAGGACAGGGAGATGAGCTCCCTGAAATCGGATGAGGACGAGGGGGACATGTACAGCTACTACCAGCTGCTCAAGTCCATCCGCAGGGACATCGAGTGGGGGGTAAGGTGCGCTGCGGCCGATGAGAGGCGCAAGGAGAGCATGAAGTTCACTCGCATGAACTCGTCCGCGTCCACCTCTTCCTCCGCATCATCATCATCATCATTATCATCATCCGACGACGACGAAGAGGACGAAGATCTGCAGAAGCAGTTCCAGTACCACCTGACCGGGCTGCAAGGGGTGCTGTCCAAGCTCACCCTACAGGCCAACTGTCTCACCAAGCGTTACAAAAAGGAGGTTGGAATCGGAGGATGGGGCCAGTAAGCTCGGAGTCCGCAGATACTGAATGCCCAGATTTGTTTATTAGACTGGCTGAACGGACTTCTCTCAAAGGGCCTTTTTTGCTGCTACTGTTACTACTGATGAAAATTATGGACACACATTTGGATGGTAGAGAAAAGGGCAGCTTATTTCTCTCTATAGTCCTACATGGTGTTGGTCTACTCTGTGGTATTGACTGTAGATGTGTTGATCCTGGAGATAGCATTTGTGTACTTAACACCAAACCCATATGTTTTGCACTCCACAGTGTTGTACACCTTCAGGCATTCAGCTCCTGTGATATTTTGATGAGGCATATTTAAACCTTTATTTAATGTATAATTTATTACCTCTCCCCAAGAGCCAAATGTTATTTCAAAGTTGGAGAAGAAGTGGACTGCGTGAACTACAGGACCTGTCATTTGAACCGCCCCTCTTGAGGGGGAAACTGACAAAAGATTTAGCTTCCTCTCTGTGATGCTGATGATGCCAGTGTGTTCAGATGTATTTGTCTTTGTGTGAAGTCCTCTTTCAAATCTGACGTGTCTGTGTCGTTAAATTGTGCTTGCATGGAAGGAGGCAGCTGGCTACCGCTAGCTGCCTGTGATCTCCTAATGTCCTAGATGGTCAATGAACCAGAATCAACTGATAATTCATCTGCATAGAGAACAATGAGGGCCTCCACATGATGCTTTGTTGTTGTTTTCATTTATTTGCTATTATCATGGTATTATTGGAGATGTCCATCTGTCGAAATAAGATAATGCTTTTGTATGCAACTTCTGCACCTTTTGTACTGAAAATTCTTTCTAAAATAAAACTTTTATACAAACTTACTTCATTGGTTATGTAATATTTTTTTCATGAATGCAGCATTACATTACAGAATAGACAAAGCAGAAAACCAAACTGAATTTGGCCTGTTTGGATGGAAAATGTGTCTCATTCATAGGTTTCTGCTTATGTTCTCCATAGTGCAGTGTTAGTACAGAACACTGACATATTACAGTACTGTGTTAAAAAGCATGTTTGTGGTATAAAACACCTTCTGATAATGTTTACTTTTTTCTAGCCATTTCTAGCCATAAAAAATATAGTTCTTCTGTGTTCAGAACCAAGGAAGCCTAATAATCATACTCAGTTGTCATTTTGTTTAATTGCTGAAAAAATGACCCAGCTATACAGTGTGAAAAGCATCAGGACAGAAACACTGCATCTGTTCTTGGGAGGGTCTTCATTTCTATCCCTTCATCTTAACAGGTGTTATCAGACAGTGAGAATTGTTTCATTTTTGCATTTTACTGCACCTTAAATGTCCAGACATTTTGTTTCAGGATCATTTTAATTTTTAAAATATTTTGTTTTTGAACCCCGTGAAAGTGAGGGACAGCTTATGACGCGGTGGTGTTATTGGCATCACCTTAAAAGGTAAAGCAAGTCAGATTTGTTAAAAAAGAGGTGGACTCAAAATTACCTGCAGGTTGAGGAATGTTGTTGTGACAACACCTTGAACAACATGAACTCTGAAACTTACCAGCCTGAGAGATGGGATGTTTGTTAGATAACATGTATAAGGCCATTTTGAATGAAAAAGCCATTTTTTCTTTCATTTCTCTCAGTCTGATTGTGTCAAGTGAATCTTACCCAGACTACAGTGCAATAGCTGTATCGTGGAATAAAACTGTAAAAATGTTAATGAACTGTTGATTTTAATCAGATTCAAACAAATATTTTGTTTTAGTCTGATGATACATATGACAATTACAAGTTTAAACTGGCATCAGTTGAGTTTGTTTTTTATCTTTCCATTTTTATATGCTTAGAAGGAAGTGTTTGTGTGCATGCATGCAAGTTGTTTTATGTAATACCCCACCAGGAGGGAAAAAGAAAAAACTGATTTCCCTCATTGTTATTTGAGTAACTGACAGTGGCAGCCCTCAAAGGCCACCGAGGGAAATGGGTGCAGCTGGAGTTTCAGTGTCGCAATAGGTCAATCGGGTGCAACACACCTACTTTCCACTCATTCTCTCTCACTCTCTCACTCAGACACAAATCTCTTGTTGATGATGTTAATTTGCATCATTTTTATTGGAAAGACAATAAATAAAAAATTATAAAGTCACTTTAATAGACCTCAATGTGCATGCAGTAGTGGACACTACAGCAAACAGTTGATATTAGATGTAGAACACAAAGATATATATATATATATAGAATACTACTCAGAATCACCAATAACTTTAAATGAAAACAAAAAAAAAGACAACTAATTTTAATGTTGTTCTGTCTGTCTCTCTTTTCAGAGAAACACAAAACTTACAAACTGTCGCTGTCGGAAATGCAGATGAAGTCTTTCAGGGGTAGACATCTCTAACATCTCTAAAGACACACCTTGATAATGCGTTCTTTTCTCTGATTTAGACTGTTTCCAGGAAATGCAGCCGCTGCTGTCCACACTCAGGACAAAGGTAACATGCCTTGCTGTATTTGGCTGTAATGATGGTTTCTAAAAACATCCAGCAAGATAACCTTATCATTAACCTTAAGGTGGATGCGACACGCTATCACTGAAGTTTTACTGTCCCATGTAGTGCTAATCTTAAATCACTGCTACCAAGGAGTACACAGAACCTTTTCCCAAGGCCATCATGAAGCCTTTAGTTAAGGTTTCTAATTATGAGACCTTAATTAACTTTGGATTTATGCAGTTTTTGGTAAGCTTTTCACAGGACAGTTAGCTGATATCAGTGGTGAAACAAGCATTTAGAGCCTTTACTTAATTAAAATAGCAAAAGTACAGAAACACTCCATTACAAATAAAGGTTGCAAAATGCAAAATTTTACGTTAAAGGTAGTTATTATGATCAGAAAACAAAATGTAGGACTACTATGTATCAGCAATAAAAATATTACTGATGCATTGATGTGTGAGAAGCATTGTTGTTAAAGCTGGTGGAAGTACAGCCACCTTAATTACTGTTGGATAGTTTAATCTGTAACAATGCATAATATTTTATATAGGCTCTACATATGTTTTGTATGTATAGCTGTCAGATAGATGCATTAGAGTAAAAAGTATAATGTCCCACTATGATATGAAGTGGAGTAGAAGTAAATTAGTCTAGTAAACAATGGAAATAGTACCACAATGTATTTAGTTTTATTTACAATATACTGCTGACTGATGTCTTGAAAACCCAACACAACATGGATGGGATATCCCACACCTTAAGTATTTTTTATTTTTGTTAAAGTGAAGTAAGTTCCTTCTCGGCCGCTACGCTCCTCCAACAAACGCCACCTGGCTCTGCCTTCCCTTCACACAAAGCAATCCCAGTCCCAGCTATTCTCATCTGTGACACCACAATGGTGGAACGAGCTACCACACGGCATCAGAGCAGGGGCGTCCCCCTTGAAAACTCATCTCTTCCGAGAACACTTCCTCTTATAACACCTCTAACGCCTAACCTCTAACATGCACTTCCTGTGCTCTTCTTCTTCTATCCCCTACAATGATCTTGTATTGATTGCACTTTTTTGTTTTGATTGCACTTTTTTTTAACTCTTACTTCCTTCCCTAGGTATTTACCCCATTGATGTGATATGTACTATGAGCTCTTACTAGTATTTATTGCTGCTCTTACTAGTATGTATTGTCAGTTGTAGATCTGTATTTGATGCTCTGTTGATGCTTGTATGTTGTTCCTCAAATGTAAGTCGCTTTGGATAAAAGCGTCTGCCAAATGAGTAAATGTAAATGTAAATGTAATGTAATGTAATGTAAGTACAACAAGGATGCACTGAGAGTCTTAACAAACCTCTGGCCCTTCGAAAACTTGACTGACGTTCGGTGGTACTTTTTGTCCCTTTGTGCGCACGGTAGAAGCAGGAAGTAGAAGAAAATCTACAGCAAAACAGAAACAAATTGGAGCGAAATTATCTCTATAAATCGTTGTGATTAAAAATGGACGGTCCGAATCCAAAATTAATGAGTAACGATTCACGCTGCGTGTTTTTTAATACACATTCAGAAGACTATCGATGCGTAAGTAGTGAACGTATCTGTTTTAATTAGCTAGCTAGCTACATCACGTTTCACTGTTATCTTAACTTACTTGTAATTACGGAATTATTTACTCGACCTGAACGTTTATTGATTTATCGATTGATAAGTTGATAAATGGAGGACTGGCACCTGCATGGTTCCCAATGCTAAGCTGCAACGGTACAGTCATATAGCTGTCAGTCATCTAGCTAAGATGCTAGCTGCATTAATTGGCCTGTTGAATATTAACATTATATTGGCACTAAATAAAACAATCAAAAGCAGCTTTACCTGCTCACTTGCCAGTAGAGAGATAATATTACTCAGTTGTGTCTGACAAACTAACTAAAGCTGACTGACTTGAGTTTACCAGCTTCATGTTCATTGTTCATTGTTTATATTTGAGCCTCAGACATATCTTTTCTTGAAACTATAATTGTGCATAAATACAATATCTTTTTGTATATGAAGCTACACAGCAGTATGTAAAACCTTCTTTCTGTAAAAAATTCTTTGCCTTGTACAACATTACAACAAGTATTTATAGCATCAACAGTAATGATCCAGTAATACAATAGTAGCCTATAACACTGACAGGGACTACTCTGTATAATGAATACTTTAAGTATATTATGCTAATACTTCTTCTATACTTTCACTTACATTTTTGGATGCAGGGCTTGTATTATAGTGTGCTATTGCTACTTTTACTAAAGTAAATGATTGGAGTACATCTCCCAGCGCTTGGACTAAGGCAGTCTAATTTAGTGATCTAGACATGAATACTAACTTTGTGAAGCTTATGATGTTTAGATGTTGTTGAGACTGTGTCAGAGAGGTTATATACGAATGGTCTGAGCAGCAGTAGCCTGTAGACTCCTCCTGTATGATATCAGGAGGATTTGCCCCCTGCTCACCAGAGAGTTGGCTCAGGCTACTGCTGCCCGCCTGGTGTTTAACCTTCCAAACGTTTCCCACACTACTCCACTTTTCAGTTCACTACATTGACTCACTGTCGCGGCTCACGTACAGTTCAAGACTCTGGTGCTCGCCCATGTGGGAATAAGGGAACTGCTACTTTATACTTGTTAGCCATGGTTAAATGCTGCACCCCGTTGCAGCCATTTGCACTCCACTGCCTCTGGAAGACAGGCCGTGTCTCTGGAAGGACCTTGTGATCTCTTGTTTTAGTCAAGGCTCTTCCCTGTCCTTGACCCATAGTGTAAAATCAATGGACAGCAGAGTCATCACCCATCAGACAAAACTGTACTGTAGCACTGAATGTGCTCTTTGTTTGGGACACTTAGCTTTTGTTCCAATGAAGTTGCAATGCACTTAACTAAGTTGCTTTTCGGATAAAAGCATCAGCCAAATAAATATACTTGTTTGTAATGTTGTTGTATTTGATTGAATTTTACTGTAAGATGTTCCTGTATTATTTGTTCAAACCAACAGGAGCGCTTTACAACATATAGTGCAATCCAATGCAACAACACCAACCATCTACCCAGCGGTTGAATCAACACCTCTCTGCCAAAGTCTCAAGTACAGAAAATACATATGATAGGGTGGATGATCTGGCCAAAAAATAATATCACAATCTATTTCATTGCAATCATGATCCACAATCTAAATTGTGATCTTTTTTCACAAATTTGAAATGCCCTGTACTCTATAACCAGACGTAACATAGCCTCTAGATTTCTGTATTTGAACCATTAAAACATAATATTGCATTAAAGATACTACACAGGTATTAAAAATGTGATTAAAACCTGAATTTAAACTGAT